GTATACAACGATCTTGAAAGAATTCTAAGGCTGTTCTTTATACTTTTTGTGTATACATGAGAGTTAACATCTGAGGACGGTGAGATTTGGGAATTTTCTTATTTTATTAATAACAATTATCCCCAAGATTTTATATGAAATTGATCGACATGTCTCTCATTAATAGACGGATCGTCAATTAATAAAAATCGTACATCTTTAATCCTTTAATAAACTTTCTTTTACTAATAATTTTAAAAAAAACTCTCTGTCAGGCTATTCTTTGAATCATAAAGAAAAAACTATGGAAAATTTTTTTACTCTAACTTGTTTGGTTATTGAGCTTATACGTTTCAAAGCTTAACAGTATTTTTTAACATTTTGGATGATTTTACCAATAAAATTAAAAAAAACTCTTTGTCACCACGTGGACCATTACATTTGTTATAATATCTCTTAATCTTATAGTTGCATCTTTTTTTTTCGAATGAGAAGATGCAATTTTTTATTTTTATAATTGTTGAAAAAAAAAGTTTATAGTAAAAATTTATATGGTTAATTAGATAGTCCATCGTACAAACCCAATACACTGCGTTGTTGCTATTGCCTTTTTTAAATTTAACCCCTGATGATTTTGATTTTTCATTTATCTCAAACATAATGATAATATTTTAATAATGTGATCAAAGCATCATGAAATAAAGGAAATGTATGAAGAAAATCATTTAAAATATATTTAACAAAAAAAAATTTTTTTTATTTATATTTTTTTAAAGTATTAAAATATTTTTAAATATAAAAATAATTTGTGGTATGTTATTTGATAACACTTTTTTTTGATTACCAAAATAACATCATTCGAACTTCTATTATAATAAATAAAATTCAAAATAATAAAATAATAATTTAATTATTATTAACAAAGATCATAATATTGATATTAATATATTAGTTATAATAAAATCAAAAATCTTCGCGTTTTAATTACTTATTTAGGAAGAATAGTAAATAATAATTGTTATTGTGGTTGACTATCTCTTTCCTTCACTTTTTTCTTTTTATTCGTCATTGATGTGTAATTAGTTAATGTATGCGTGTGTGCAAATGTGCGTTTATTCACACACACAAAGATATTATAGGTTGATTGTCAGAAAAGTAGAAATTTCTATATAAATTTACATACTTGGATTCTTTTATTATATTCCATTTTTTATTGTAATTATTAACCAATTGGGTTGAATAATTTTTTCATCAATATTTATTTTCTTTGAAGCAAACAATGTTAATTGTACGTGTTTGTGCGTATGTGGTATCATCTTAACATCATCATAACATCATAATTCAAGGGGGAAAGCAAGGGGAGTAGTGAAATAATGAAATAACGCAAAATAAAATGGGGTTTTTTTTCGAGAAAAGAGTGTCGCGTGCACACCAATCTAGTGTTTTTTTGACATGTAAAAATTACGTAGAAAAATATTTGTACTTTCTTATCAATAATAACATTGATATTGATGTAATGAACATGACAACAATACTAAACAATAAATAAAATGCAAAAAAATTTTAATTTAACAGTTAATGCGCGTGATTTTAATTATTATATATTTAATTTTGATTTTTTATTAATAATAATAAAAAGTAAATCAGGAAAATTTTTTTTCCCATTTTGATTGATCAACAGCGGCAAAAATAATTCATTATGCATATTTAATGAAAAGTAAGGTTAATAGCCATATGTTTAAAAATATATCAGATCTTCCGCAGTAATATCATATCAAATAATCATGTGATCATTCGATCATGACGAGAAAAAAGTCAATTAATTATTGTGTAAAAAAAATATAGTTAAACTCCAGAATGATCAGAAGTTACGAACACATTACAATAGAACATTCTAATCTTGAATCTAGAATCTGTTGAACCTATTATCAGAACAAATAAGATGACGCACCGGTTAGTTTGACGACGATAATAATAATATCGGTGGATCAACAATGACGAAATAGTGATTACACCACATTACTTTTGAATTCTTTAAACTGATTCTCATTCAAATCAAATACTTTTTGGAGAACGCAAACTTTATTGTTCCATATAAATAATAAAACTACGTAAAGAAATGTCAAGTTATGAACATCAAGGAATATTAAATTAATGTTCCCAGAATCAGTAGTTTGTGATTAGATAATAAATAAAAAAATTGTGTCAATTTAATGTTACACGATCCCAAACTTCCATTTTTAAATATATGCTATAACAAGGTCACAAAAACTGTAAAGAAACCAATAAACGATCATTTATTATGAGCAACACCGAACAAATTCTTTTCCTATTTAGCAAAAAATCCTTAATAATTTGCTAATATTAATTAAAACTGGATTTACTATTAAAACTAGCACTACTCTGTTCTTTATTATTATTATTTTAAGGAATTCCAAGAACCTGGGAATTAATGATTATTAATACAAAAAATTAATAATAATAATATAATAATAATATAATAATAATAATAATAATAATAATAATAATAATAATAATAATAATAATAATAATAATAATAATAATAATAATAATGATAACAATAATAATTATAATAAATTCATATGTGTTGTTGATTGTAATAAAAGTTGTCGCATTTTGCCGAAAAAATTGGATGATGAAAAATGACAAAAAAAACAGTAGATTATGAAATAAAAAATATTTTAAAATGGGAAAAAAAGAAAATCGTAATCTAAATTTTATTGAATTGAATGTTGACAATCATTTTTGTTTTTTAAATTGTCACAAAAATAAGTTTTTTTTTATTTTATGTAATGTACATGAAAATTATTTTACCGCTTAATTTGTAATATTGGATTTTTTTATATGAGATTTTTAATAATGATGTAAAAATAATAAAATAATCGATAAATGTGTATAGTAAAAAGTAAGGTAGTAGTGCGATGTGTAATAGTAGAGAAAAAGGTTTGATTTGCAAAACAATTGCCTAAATTTATAAAAAAAAACCATTCTAGTTTTTGAGTAAAAACGCAGGTCATTAATAATTAATTAATCTTATAATTTAAAATTTTTTAATTGTAAATTTTTTTTTAAAAATTAAAAAAAATCTTATAAATATGATCATTTTTCTTGCTACCATAAAAGGGGTTCAGATTTAAAGAAAAAGGGTACTTTTTATTATAATAATAATAACAAAGCAAAAACAATATAAATATAATAAATAAAATCTATAAATATATATAATTTATAACAGTTAAAAAAATAAAAAATTTTTTAATTAATACTTTTTTTTTTAGCGATTTACGTTATTTAATTATTTTATAATCAACACACACCACATATAATTATTAGTTTTTAAATATTCCAATAACCTAACAACAAAAAAAAACTTTGCATAAAAACTGCAGAAAATTTTCAAAATTTTTTATTTTTTTTTTATTTTATTTTTTTTTTTAAAAATAAAATCATGATTAATGCCAGAACTGTAGACCCGGACCAAAAATTTAAAATTAATTGTCAACAACAAAATTATAATAACATCAACGTTGTTAATACCGTTGCTGCTAATTCTATTTATAATAATAATTATATTACATCATCTCCCGCCGCCGCCGCCGCCGCTCCAATCTCTCCACCTGTAACTCCTGGCACATCAATTATCATTTCACCTTATTCATCACATTATCACAATAATAATAACGACTTTACTTTCACCAATTCTCCCAACTGCTCTCCTTGCTTTTCAAATAACGCTAATATCAATATCAATAATAATAACATCAATAATTATTTAAATTTAAACTTAAATCTAAATTCTTGTTGTTCCCCTTTCTCTTCACAATCATTTCCTTCTTCGTTCAATCAACAATTTTCTGAATTAGCATCAGGATTGGTTGGAGATATTGATTTAACAAGCGACGACCTCTTCAGTTTGAGTAGATCACCGCAATACTTATTAGATTTACAACAAAATTATTCAAGTCTTTTTCCAATGAATTTCCAACAACATCACCAACAATATCAATTTCCACCACAACAACGCCACCAACAAAATTATCAACAACTAGATCAAGATCTATTATCAGAAGCTTCTTCAATTTCTCAAACAAGTTCTCCCATCATTCAACAAATATCTTTAGACAGAAGACAATTTGATGAAATGCCTACATTTCAACAACATTCATACTCAACAACAATTGATGCTCCACTAAGAACCCCCCCTCTAATACAGGCTTCTACATCTTCCACAAATTATTTTGAAATTCCTTTTAACAATAACAGCAACAACAATAACAGCAACAACAGCAACAACAACAACAACAATAACAGAAGCAACAACAACAACAACAATAATAATAGCAGCAGCAGCAACAATATTAGTGGTAATGATAATGATGGAGTAACTTCTGAAATGATATCAATAAATTCGTTTTCACCTGAAAATATGATTTATGCTACTAGATTAGCAGCAGCTACATCAATTTCTCCAACAATAAGCTCTAATAATTATAACGTGACTCAACAACAACAACAACAACAACAACAACAACAACAATCATCATCACAATTATTACTGCAACAGCAAGCCGCAACATTCTCTACAAATGTTAACAATTCAACAATACCTACAAAACCCGTTAATACTACTTATTCATATAGCGGTCCACCAAAAAGTTATTATTCGAGGCTGCCACTATATGATCGACCCTTCAAATGTGACGAGTGTCCTCAAAGTAAGTTTGAAATTGAAAATTATTATTTCTTTATTAAAAAATCACAAATTAAAATAATTAAATAATTTATTTTCTTTCTCATAGGTTTTAATCGAAACCACGATTTAAAACGCCACAAGAGAATCCACCTCGCGGTAAAACCATTCCCGTGCGAATTCTGCAACAAAGAATTCAGTCGAAAAGACGCTTTGAAACGACATATGGTCGTCAAAGGATGTGATAAGAAATCACAAGCAACTTCTTCCACTGGCGTCGTCACCAATAATAATAGCAATAAGACCGCTACTAGTAGCAATGCATCCAAACCCAATAAAAAATTAAAAACATCTTCGACATCGTCAATTTCTTTATCAACGAATATTAACAACAACAAAAATAACAAATTAAACGACAATTAATTGATATATATAAAAGAGATATATACACTAAGAATTTCTATGGTTTTTATTTCTATCTTCTCGAATAAAAATTAATTTTTCAACATTTTTTTCTATTAACTGGGGGGGGTTTTTTTTTTATTTTCGCTTCGAGACAATAAAAAAAAGGACTTTTTCCGTTTTTCCGATTTCTACAAAAAAAATTTTTTATTTTATATAATATTAATATAATAATATATATTGTATAGAAAGAAAAATAATCAAAATTTTCCGTGTTAATAACCAATGGGTGGATTTATTTTTTTTATTTTTTTACTTTTTTATGTGTAAATATTTTTATAACGAAAAAAAAAAAAAAACAAATAATTATAGTTTATAATAATAATAATAATAATAATAATAATCATAATCATAATAATAATCATAATAACCTATCATCTATACAGAGCATATATATATATATATATAATACAAAACACACATCAAAAATTATGAGATTTACATGCACACACACACATATGTGTGTGTATATATATATATATGAAATTTAAATTAAGATTAAAATTAATTAAACTAGCAAAATTATTATGAATTTAATTTAATTTTTTTAATAAATAAAGTTTTTAATTTTTCCTAATTTAATCAAATGAACTGTATCGATCTTGGATTCATTATAAATCAGGCCACTTAATCATTATTGTTGTAAAGTGCTAATTGTTGTAAAAGATGATGATCCCATCCCACCATACATTTCATACATTAACGGCATTGATTTTATTGGCCATAGATCTTTACCAAAATTAGAAAATTTAGAGAATTCCTATGGAAAAGTGTAACGTCGTCCGTCAATCACGAAAAAATGAATCTATAAATGATATTAATGAGAGAATCTTATATCCCCATTATTGTTAAACATTTCATTTCATTCTCATGTTCATACTACTGTTACTGCTTTTCTATTCAAGATAATTATGTTGAAAATGTGTTTGGATGAATTATATATAATTATATATATACATGCTATTAATATTAGATAAATAAATATATTTATTACATCTACACGTAAAATCTTTTTAATAATATAGTAAATAAAATAGAAAATTACGATATAAAAAGTCTTTGTCTCTAATGAATATCCAATTTGAATTGTATTGTTAACTGCTTCTTCAATAATATCTCTTCAGTAGTATTAAAAAATTTTGTTTTTTTGAATTAATTCTATTGGGTTAAGGAATTGCTGCGCAATATATATACTTTGTTCCTAATGATACTCTATGGGTATTGAAGTAAGTTATCTAGATGACCAAAGTAGTAACTACGCTTCTTGCCTATTACACATACAATTACAAGTTTATTTGAATATTATTATGTAAATAACTTTTCTTTAGTGGAATGAAAGTTACTATTTAAATTTCCTCGCTTCTAGTAAAAGTATACTCTAGGTAGAAACTATATTTTGTCAATTGAAAGCGTGACTTTTACATGTTACAAATATATTTTGATCGTGTGATTAAAAAAATTTTTTACACATGATACTTACTAATCGATACTAATTTTTTCTGAAATGATCGTCGAAAATCAAAAACGCACCACAACTTTGTAGTTTTACAGATAGCGTTGTTGCATGGAGAATTTTGATAGATGTGGTAAATGGTGGTTACCTAGCTGACAATGGTATTCGAGCATACAAACTTCACATCTTTGCCTGCCATATTTAGTGTTTTATACTAAAAGTGTTTTTCTCTAAATATGCTCAATAGTAAAGTGTATGTTTTATGTAACCCTTTTAAGTGTAACGGTTGAGACTTTTTACTTAATTTAGTAATTTTCAAAGAAATATATATTCCTGTTTATTAGTAAAAAAATGATTATACACAAACATATGTGTAACACATACATTATTATTAATAATAATTTAAGGTGGTATTAATATATACCAAAATTCGATGTGCGGAATGTGCGGGTGTAACGTCATACATTGTAAATTTTTTTGCAGATGATTTCTAAATTTGTAAAAATCGGTATTAATTATATGCCGAAATTTACTATATTAATATAGATTATAATTCGTTGATCACGAACTTTTTCTTTTATGGCAATTTCTGGCACGTTTTGCAATGTAAGCAAAACTTACTAAAAAAGGAAATAAAATCAAAATCCAAGTTTTTATTATCTACATAATTTTATGTATCAGATCCCGTTTGTTATACTTATTTCTAATGCTCATGTAATTATTCTCACAGCAAAAATAAATTGAGAAATAAAGAACATTTATCAGAAATAGAAGATTGTGATTTTGAAAAGCATATAAACTTTAAGAAAGCAACAAGGAGTTTCCAGATAAGAAGAAGAATAATAATACACATAATAATAATAATAATAATAATAATAATAATAATAGACAATGATAATGATAATAATAATAATAATTGTTAAAAAAGGTATGTCGTAGATCATTATTATTATTTAGATTTAACACGTGTTTAATTCGAATTTTCCGTTGATAGATTGTTTTTCTGCAACACACCAAATTCTTATTCTTCATACAAATTTAAACCATTTCTGTATTTGGAAAGTCTTAAAAATCTTCTCTGCGTTCGCTAAATGCCATCGACAAATTCATCTCAGGAATCCATTCATTTCATTTATTCATTTATCCGTTCAACAATAATACAATTCTTTTATTGGTGTAAAAAAAACCGATGTTTTTTATTTGTTTACCAAATTTGTAGTACAAAATCAAATGATTTTTTTTTTAGGAAAAAAAGTGGCTGAATTTTAAATTATTGATATTAATGAAAATCTTGAAAATTTTTGTTTGTTTGTAAAACAAAAAAAAACAAGAGAAAATCGACCGCTTATTAAGCTTACATAATCCTGCCTGTTAACAAAATGGTATTTTAATTTCATTGTTATTGTTTGTAACCGCAAACGGCAAAAATAATTCATTTGCAAAAAAAATCATCCCACTTTTTCAATAATGATAAAAATAGATTATAATTAAATTTCCAGGTTGTGATTTTGTTTTTGTTTTTCATCAATGATTATTAATCATGAATTAGTTAATTCATAAGCAATAATCCTATTGTTTTAAAAAATAAACAATTCATTTTGTTTTCATTTGACTCAGTGTAAAGATTTTGCAATTACAATTATAATAAAAATATTCGGCATAAAATTTCATAAAAAAGATTTCTGACTCAAAACAATAATTTTAAATTCTCGTATTTAAGAAAAAAGGCGTTTTCCCCCGTAAACATATTTGTTTTGTTAGAAATATTACCACAAGATGATTTTAATCATAATGAAATTTAGCAGTGATTGATAAGAAAAAAGTCATTATCTTCTGGAACTTTTTTTTCTCTTGTTGGGTTCGGTTTCCCAAAAAATAAAAAAAAATCAAAGCAACCAAATAAATAAAAACCCTTTAATCAAACTCACACAACAAACAATCCAATTTACAGACTCAATTGGTCTATGAAAAAGAAATATATTTTTCTTCGGTTAAATTACGGCGAAAAAATATTTAATAAAACGAAACTTGATAATTATTATCCAATCATATAATTTTCCACTCTTATTTTCCTGTTTTCCTTTAATAACAAATGACCACACGTGTTGTTTGTCGCGTGTATTATTAAAGTTGATGGATTGCATTGTTTTTTATTAATGTGTCTTGTTTCTATCTAAGGAAATTAACAAGATTTTATTTAGTTATTAATATAAATAAATAATAAAGACTGATCATTCGCTATTATCATATGATGGATGATGATCCATTATATATAATGTACAATGTACAATATATACAATGTATAATATATATAATATATATTTAGATTTTTATATTTAGATATTTATATTTAATACTAACAACAATGCAATAAATGCCATTTGCGTGTGTGTACGTGTTACTAGGAGTGCACTCACGCACGCACGCACGCACGCACGCAATTTTGTTTAAATATGTTAAATGTTTAGATTTGATCTCAATAACGTCAATATTGAGATGGTTGGTGACAGGTATTCTCGTTATTTGTTTATTTCCCATTATATTCTTGAAATTCACGTGAATTTAGTTAATTGCCGGGGCGAATATCATCCGAAAATTATAATTCTCGCCAAGATTATTATTATATATATATATTTTATTTTATTTTTCAAATATTTCAACATAATACGCTCACTCACTACATACAAAATTAATCAATAAAATCCACCATATTATATTTATATAATGAAAAATACTATACAATTTATAAATAAATATAAATATATATGTAAAAAAGCAAAAAAATGGCAATTTAAATTAAATAAAATAATAAAATAATAAATAAATAAAAATAAAGTAAAACTTTTCATTTAAACATTTTTCAAAATCTAAAATTGAAAAATAATTACATGTGTGCATTGTATTAAATCATCTAGCTTACCAAACGATTCTTTCCTTTAAATGGTTTAAACGACGAATTTTCTGTTGATTGATTTTTTATTTCAAATGATACACTTGAATTTCTTCTCTCAGACTTACAATTAGTACATTTGAGTTGTCGATGTTGATCATTATTATCATTATTATTATCATCATCATCTATATCATTATTATTATCTATGTCAACCTCGCTATTAAGACACCTAAGATGAAAACCATGACCACATCGGAAAAGTATTAAATCATTTTCTTGAATATGTGCTGATGCTGTTGTTGATTCTGATTCTGATAACGCAATCTCTGATAATGCAGCCTCTGGTGGTGATGACTGTGTTTGTGGCTGTGTTTGCATTTGTAAAGGTGTATTAATTTTTTCTTCTGTCAAAATTTGTAAATATCTATTAATTTCTTCTTCTGTCAAAACTTGATCAGAAATACCTTGCAGTACTTCGATTCCTATTATTTCGTCAGAATCATATATTGTCGATGTTTTTGACTGCTCTTTCTTTGGGTTAACTGTGGTTTTTGTTTGATGATTTAATAAACTTATGTCCGTTCCCCAGAAATGCCCTCCGCACACTTCACAAGTTCCTCTACGAGGACGCCAGCCTTTACCACGTTGCTTTACTACACTCGCCACTCCCATAAACAAATCCTTTTCAAATAATCGATTGGTAAGGGTCAGCAATTGGCTTTCATACTTGTACGTATCAATCATTCCTATAAATATATCTCGAAAATCTGCCACTGTACTATTTCTTCTGGATTGTGATCGTATGAATTTAAGTAGTAACCTTGGTAACGATACATAAGGTGAAGATGTCGATAACAATAATGATCTCAATATAGATTGTACATATGACTTGAATGTTGTTATAAGAAGATCTGCGATGTGAGTTGGTATAGGTGATTTCGGTGCTTCATATGTGTTATTGCTTAGTAATTTTTCTGATAATCTAGGTGGTCTTTGTGGTGTCACGCTGGATGTAATGGCCTTTGTTGCATCCAAAAAAGTATCCAAAAGCTTAAACCATAATAATTCGGACTCACTTTCTGTTGTCATTGTATCTCGATCACCATTATCATAAGTATTAATAGAATTTTTATCACTACCATCATCATTATCATCACCACTATCATCGTCATCATTGCTATCACGATTACCGTTATAATTACCACTGTTCACTATTGCACGTCGACAACTATTTTCACATAGGGTTATCGCTATTTTAAGAACTCCTTTTAATTTCATCAGAGCTGTTTCAATCCTTCCCTTTTCAATCAACGTCCATTGATTATTATTATTATTATTTTTAGAAGATTTTTTTTCTTCTATTAATATAAGGATATTTTGTCTTTTTTCTTGAACAATCTCTAGAATCTTATCAAGTGCCCCAACTGCGTTACCACTTTGTTCCATTATCCAAACAACTGAATCAACTATACCAGCCGAAATACAAGCAGGCAATATTTTCTCTAAGCGGTAGGCACCTTGATGTGTTTTCAAGTAATGATAAACTCCCGTAGGATCAAATTTACACATCAACGTAATATATTTTTCGTGGATTTCGGGTTCTGATATCGAGTTTGAAGTTTCCAACCAGATAAGTTGCTCTTCAACTGTTTTTACAAATTTAATTTCACTATTTTTACTCACGTCTTCGGATGGTTCCAAAAGCACTCGAAGATATGTAAATAATCGTGCCGGTGATGATGATAAATTTGAAATAATGGTTTTATGATCACCGCTGAAAAATGCTTGTACGATAAATGCAGTTAATCCTCCATCTATATCAACAATTTCTTCAATTTTTTCCATAATTATCTGTGATACTTCTTGTCTTTGTGTTTCTGTGATATGGCTCTTAGGATTTAACAATTCCCGAATACAATCAAATACTTCATTTCTTCTTTCGGGATCTTTAAGATATGTTGATAATAGTAATCCATATTTCTGTTCGGCTTTGTAAACATTCTCCAATACTCTCCAAAATCCCGCACTTTCATACAACCTAACCATTTGATCTTCGTCCTGTGGAGTGTAAATAGATAATAAACATTCGACTGAAAGTTGTCTTTCTTCACGAGTATGTGGATCAGTGTCAAGACTAAGTGCGGCAAGTATTTTTTGCATTGCATTTCGAGGAAGTAAAAGAAATTGTGGGTATTTTGGTAAATTTTTAGCAACAAAACAATATAATTGTGAAATATCTGATTGAGAAAATTCTGATGATCCCCATGGTTCAGTTGTCATAACTTCTATTAGAATGTTTATTAATAATTGTCTATTAATAATTTTTCCGGGCAATTCTTCCTCTTCATAATAATCATCATCATTGTCCATGATTATCTCAACTCCATTCAAATATGAATCTTCAAATGCAATTTCTAAAGCTTGTAAAAATGCCTTTGTATTAAATCTTAAAAATAATCTAAGATATGGGTATATTGGTTCTCTTCCTTCAGCTTCGTCTTCCGCAGTCAAAATCAATTCACCCCCATTCTTGGGCCAAATTATACAACGTCCTGAGAATATAAATGAATATAAATTTGTTCGAGCTTCATTTGCATCTTTTTCATTAAGTGGAGCTCCATTAGGATAAGTATGGCCGGTAAGTATATTTTCCATATAAGTATAAAATTTACGAGCATCAGTCTTCAAAACTTCTAAATCATCCTCTTCCATTGAATCAACATGATCTGTTGTTCCGTTGAATCGGTGTTCTTTCTTTTTCCGTTTCTCTAAACTTAATACTTTTTTAATTAGTCCAAGAAGTTCTACCGCTGGATTCACGTAATCATCCATTGATCGATTCCAAACATATATCAATGCATCATAAAGTTTTTCGTTTTTACATAATTGAACAACTTGATCAATATCTAGATATTTTGGATTAATATGCCATATACATTGTTCTATACGTGTAAGCAGTCTACAATCTCGATAGTGTGTAACAAGATCCTTCATGATTTCTGGTGGTAGCTCTTCCATTTTATCATCAAGAATGTATGGTTCCAAAACCTCAAGCAATGTTCCTTTGGCAGAAGCATTTGAATATCGTTCATAAATGTCATTAAAAAGAAATTCCTCTTTATGCATACTAAGACATGCCTGAATACATGCTACAGCAAGATCATGGAATAGTACATTATGTTCGTCAGCCATCCCCGCAAATGTTCGTTCACTAGAAAATGCATAATTTATAGAAGCGTTTAAAAGTTCCATAAGCTTCCCTCCAACAATCATGTGACGAATTTCCTCATTATCTGGTAATCCAAGAATTGTCTGCGAAGTAGTACCATTATAATATGATGTGGCCAAAGCTATCGCCTCAAGATAATCACCAGATTGTACAAATGCAAGTATACGATCTGCCCATGATAAAAGTGATCCAACATAAAGATTTCGTACACCCTTTATAAATCAATAATATATAAACATATTCATTATTTATTCAAGGATACGATAAATAATAAATAAAATTATTTTACGTACAAGTAAGTATACATGACTCTTGTATATACGTAAACTATGGTAATAAGCCAAATCTACTGTGTTTTTAATAGAATCATCTGACCTATCAATTAAAAGTGAAGAGAAATGGTTATGATACACTAGTGAACGATGACGAATATTGTTTTGTTCACTTTCTTGCATATATCTAGGATCAAAAACAACTATGTCTTCTGTGTTTGTCAAAATCAATAAAATCTAAATAATAATATCCAATGAAATTAAAAAAAATATATAATCTAGTTTGTTTATAATATGTATGAAAAATCCTTACATGAGGAGAAAGCCATTGCAGTGCAACTATACTATTTCTAGCTTTCCATTGTCCAACTTTAATAAATTCCAAAACAAAATCAGGCTTTCTTTTACTTTTTGGATGTTCGGGTTGAATGACTTGTGCAACAGTAATTTTTAATATTGTTAAGTGATTACCCCAAGAAAACGCGAGCAAAGGATCAGTGTGTTCAATTGGAGTTTCTATAATATATATATATATATATATTATAAATACATATTGAAAAGCAACAATTATACCCTCACACACACACACATATACATTATATGTACGTTACAACAAATTTTTTTTGGGTTAATCTTTACCTGTGTTAAGTTGAAATTTTACAGCAGGATACCATGCAAGACAACCTGATATTGACTTTGATGCTGTAGAAGAATCTGTAGAGATATTTTTTGGTTTTAAGTCTTTATAATGAGTATGTATTGTTGGTTTTGTGCTTACTATAATCATCTACATACATATATATATATATATAATTTTAAAATCATTACAAGTGGCATTAATAATGATTAATAATAATGGAGATAATAATAACAATAAATGAACAGACCTTATAGGGTGTTAAAATAGCAACTAATCCGAACCCTTCAGAACCATGAGGTAATTGGCCAAAAGGCAGTGGCGCTAATCCAAAAATAGTACTTGGTCTTTTTATTTTAGAACCGACATGAAATTCATTATGTGATGATGATATTGGATATCGCCCAATTATACGTGTTGTTTCAGTTGCATTAAACAACATGACTTTATATAGGTTATGAAAGAATGCCAACCCCTATTTTTATAATCATTAAAAAAAATATATATAAGGTCAAATATTGAAAATTATAATCGGACTTGGTGGTGTTTTAGGACTTGATTATTATTTCTTAATTTTAGTAGTAGTGGTATTAATATTTAAATAAAGTGTAACCAAACTAACTAAAGCCATTCTAATATTTTACTATTCACTCAATATAACATACATGATTATCTCCAGAAACAATTCCATTTTTGCGAACGCCAACAAAACCAACATGTAAGATAGCTGAACCATGAATATGACCTTCCTTTTTCCCACCAGCTACAGCACCTGAAGAAATAGGCAAGATGGTACGTATTGGACTAATTGGTTTATTAATATCCCATATTAAAATATATCCTTGTGAATGACCACTTAATATTTGACTATGGTCAGAGGAAATTGCAAGAGATGTGACAGCACCGTATTCAATAGCTGTTGAAAAATACGACATTGTAAAATAAAATTTATTAGGATAAAGTTACCCTATGATTATTTGGCCATTATATAAATAACTTTACCGTTAGAAGTAGATCCAAGTATACATTTTAAAGTCTCTTGCGGATTCTCATAGACCAATACTAAACCACGAGTCGTACCTATCGCAATCACTCCACTAACCTAAATAATTGAATAAAAGTGGGATTTTTCTTTAAAAAAAAATAGGATGTGTTTTCTATTTAATCCATTCATATTAATAGAAACACTTACAGCCAATACAGTTGGTAATCCAGCACTTTGACTAACATTTTGAGAATATAAGTGATCAGAAATTTTATCCATAGGCTTCCATCTAAATGCATCCCATGGTTCCGGTGGTGTTGAAAATGCAGCATCTTCATTAAACAACATAGAAGGTGATGATGAACGTGAAAAATGTGATGAAGCTTTTGATTTAGCTGAAGCAAGCGATGCTGACGACATAGTACGAAGTTTTGAAACATTAGAATCATAATAAGATTTTGATATCCGTGGTGACATTGGTATATTTGAAGCGGTTGTTGACGTCGTTGATTTATATGATATATCTGACAAAGTGTCCTAATTTTAGATAATCCAAAAAAAAAGTTCTTTATTTTTTCTTTAAAATAAAAAAATAAATTTTTTTAAAAAAAATTTCTACCTCAAAAGCATGTATTTCCGATTCTGTATCCAAAGTTTCCGAATCAATAAATTCGTCTTCGCTAGATCCGTCAGATTCATTTAAAATTTTTTCCAGGCTAAGGTGTTGAGCTATTTATAATTAAATAAACCAATTATTATTTGGTAAATTTGAATAAATGATAAATAAAATAAAATAAAATCTCAATAGTTGCCTCTATTCACAAATTCCTCATATAAAGCAATATCTTTCATAACTCGTTCAAGAAGATCAGTAACTTTTCTTCGGCGCTGTATTCCCAAAGTTGACGGATCAGCTAAAGGTCCACCTTGCAAATGGATCTGTAGATCTTCTTGAAGTTGATATAGTTCTGAAAGTGCCACTTTAATTGTAGCTTCTGGCGTAGTTGGAAGTTCAAGTTCTGGTATTCGAAGTTGATTAAATGATCTTTCAATTTCAACCAATGAAGATACTCCATTTACTTTAAAAAAATAGTTGGGTTTTAATAATTATGTAAAATTAAATCTATGATTATAAATTAATTTTTATATTTACCTAAACGAGAAATTGAACCTTCCGAAATTTTTGGTAGAGGCTCTTTTTCTTGAATCTCTGGTATTGGGGTAGGACATCGCATAATTATATTATAACCATATGCTTTAGCGAGATAAGAGCAATGTTTTTTTTAAACCAACTAATATGCAAATGGGGTAAATACAGGTCAAAATGATAGATAATTCAATAAAAAAAAATGAATTTTATAAAATTTTTTTTTTTTTGAAAGTTTGAAAGCTTGATCCTAAAGAAGAGGTAAATATATCATTTAAAGAAATTTAACCGCACTACGTGTAACCTTAAAGTTACACTAAATTTTAGTTATTGTGTGACCATTTTTTTATCCACGGTTTAAAATTATTGGCTTATTCACCGAAAAAAAATAATATTTAAGTTTATAACGATAGTATTGTTAATTTATTTGTTTTTTATAGAATGATCTTCTATGCACATTGATATTAATCTATCAATTGATTATTTTTTTATCTCCAACCCAAGATACAAAAAAAATTGTTCCGAGGGAATACATCAAAGCTACTAAACACCAGATAATACCCCATTGATTCCCTGTAACATCTAGAAGCCACCCATTTATAAATACACCTATTATACCTGCCAAAATACCCGCAGTATTACCTATTGCATATATAAATCCCGCATATTTAGGAAGAATCTATAATCACGGGTAGAATTTTCCACATACAATGTCAACCACAAATTATTATAAGAAGAGAAAACACAGAATCAGACATTAAAACACTTACATCGAACTGTGAGAGGTTTAATATAATATATTTATAAACGAATTAGGAGAAAAAATTAATTTATTACAATATTTATTATAATTACATTTGATTTTACCTGTGAAATTGATGAGCCAATCAGTACAAAGGTTCTTAATCCTAATCCGACTCCAATTACTATTAATCCTTCTATTGGATTAGTAGCTAAAAATGACACCTAGTATTGCTTGTGTTGTTATCATTATTATTCAAAGTGTATTGAACTTTTCTTTCAGAAATAAAAAAAATATACATACATACATAACAGACAATGCTATACCAAAACCACCAATTGATTGTGCTATCCTTCTTACGGTTCTTATGCGAAAATTCATCCTGTGAATCATAAAATCTCCCACAATGCCAGCAATCAATCCCATTATTGCTTGAATTATATCAGGAAGAACTAAAAATAATATGATTATGATTTTGTGTATCTTTATCCAAATAGACCAGAGAATTTTGTTTCATACCAGCAAAATATCCCAATTTTTTGATATTTATTCCAAAACGATCCAGATAATATGTAGGTAACCAGGTAACCATAATAAAAAAACCAAATGAATTAAAAAATGTAGCCAAAATAATAGCCCATACTTCTCTTCTAGAAAATATAATTTTCCATGGAATCTGTTTAATCTTGAACTTTTCTGGAGCAGATAAACCTTTTAATAAATTTCTATGAGATCCTGTTTCTTGTTCTTCATTAAGAGCTTGCACCAAATCATCATCATCGTCGTCATCGTCATCGTCATCCAAGTTAATATTATCGCTTATAATTATCTCATCATTATTTAAGTCACTATAACCAATATTAACATTGTCGGTTTCCTTATTGCTATTATCTAAAATTAATTTTAACTCTTCTTGACTAATTCCCGGATAATCACTAGGATTACTGCCACCATAAAAATGCCACAATATAGACCAAATAATTCCCATGAATCCAAATACCCAAAATATACTTGGCCATCCAAAAGGACCTGAACCTAACCATGTTGAAAGTGGTAAAGCAAAAAACGAGGCTGAATAGGCTGAAACTGTAATAATTGTGGCAGCACGGGAATTTTCTTGTTTTGGAATCCATGATGCAATCATTGAGTGAATACATGGAAATGCAGCTCCTTCTCCAACCCCTAAACAAATTCTACATAAAATAAGATAGTTCAATCCAAATTTGGCAGAAATTGGTGTAAGAAGTGTAAATAAGTTCCAACATGCGGCAGCTATTTGCGAATAAAAAACAAAACATTGATAAAATTAAATGATTAAAAAAACCACAAATTTCTTCTATTTACTCACAAATTCCAAGCACCATTTTCCCACCAAACTTGTCTGCAAGTATTCCTCCTATAACTTGTGTTAATAAATACCCTACAAGGAACGATGAAAGTACTAACCCTTGAGTAGTGAAAGACCATCCAAATTCAGCAGCCATATAAATTATGGCGATAGAAATATTCATTCGGTCTGTCAAACAGTGTTCTTTAATTTTGATTTGTTTTAAAGGTAATAATAAATAAAGAATTCTCTTTAATTCACAATACCAGCATAATTAATAGCAACACCAAGAGAACATAAACCAACGATTATAAAGCGTTTTGGAATATATAAGGTGCTAAAAAACATTCTTTAAAGTTTTTTTTTAAACTTGATATTTTATATTTTCTCAATATTTACCGTAATAGTCCTAATAGTCTGGGATGATGGATGATTGCATTCATGAAATTCATTCATTTAGGTGGTTACACATATCAAAGCAGTTAAAAATCATATGTTGATCATCTGATTTTGATATATGTAACCCTTAATGAATATTCATGAATCTCATGAATGCAATCAACTAGTTGATAGTTCAAGTCAATATAGAAAATTACCATGTGCGGATTTTTTAATGTTACGCATATATATCATCAAAACAGGACCGGGAAACCTCTATTGAATGTCACCGCCAACACTATGATTCGAAAGTACTTTTAAAAAAAAAAAGAAGGAAAGGTGAAAATAAGAAAAAAAAAATCACGCCATAGGAATTACCAACTAGCCTATTTTTGGTTAAATAACCGATTAACCTATCAAAGCGTTAATTGAAGATTCAGATAAACTTTAAAATGTAAAGGTTTGATAACCAAGCAAGCCAGAGGAATAATATTTCTGCAATTGTATTTTAAAACATTCGATTAATAGCCTGTCAGAGAGAGTTTTTTTTGTTTGTATTAATAAAAAAAATTTATAAAGGTTCAAAGTTATCATTTTGATTTACTATAAACAATGGAAATTTAGATAAACTTTAAAATGTAATAACCAAGCAAGCTGCGGAATAATATTTCCACATTGTATTTTCAAGCACTCAATTAATGTTCCTATCAGAGAATTTTTTTCATTTATATTAATAAAAAAAAATTTTTTGCAGTTATGAAAATTATTATTATTATTTTTTGATGATCAACCGTTGTGACCAACCCCAGTAATAGTAACGTTTCTTCAATTGTATAGATGTTCCATGTGCACAACACGATACGCGTAATGCAATTAATTGCCCATGGAAAAATGTTTCCTTTATCTAAATGCTAATGCTAATGCTAATACTAATTAATACTAGTAAACACTTGATAAAATTTTTGAATCATAATTAATTTTATAACAGAGATTTTAGAATCACATTACACTTAATTTAATTAATTTAATAAACTTCTCCTTCATTGAGATGTAATATTCACATAAAAATGAGTAGTAATTTTTTGTTCTTAAATATTCTTAATACCTAGAGATAGATAGTTCTTATAAAATTTTTATTTCGAAATTGTTGTCTTTACTTCTAATCTTAAAAGAAAAATATTGAATTATTTATAATTGTTTGCAGATGATTGACAAAAACGCGTGACACGAGTAATGTGCATGTAAATTTTTCAATTTTCGTATTTCTACTCATGACTTGTGTTTTTTCGATGTTTGATTGGTTGGTGTACGGTCGTTATTATTTTTATCATGACTTCTGTGATGTTTACTTCTATCTCTTTCTTTACGACAATTGTAGTCGTGACTAGATTCATATTTGTGTTTTCTGTATGTTTGATTGGTTGGTGTATGGTCGTTATTGTTTTTACTGTGACTTCTATGATGTTTATTTCTATCTCCTTCTTTACGACAATTGTAGTCGTGACTTGATTCATATTTGTGTTTTCTCGATGTTTGATTGGTTGGTGTACGGCCGTTATCGTTTTTACCATGATTTCTGTGATGTTTTCTTCTATCTCTTTCTTTACGACAATTGTACTCGTGACTAGATTCATATTTTGGTAAATCATCAGGATTTGCTGGTAAAGGACTTGTCTGAAAATATTTGTGATTCAAGGCTTCAAAAGCACTAAGCCTTTTTTCAGGGTCTAGCACTAGTAATTTATCAAGTAAATCGGCAGATATGGCGCCATGTTTTCTATATTCATTGAAAATTTTGTAATTGGTTAATAATCTTGAATAGTTGTTATTAACTAAATAGTTTATTAATAAATAAAATGAACTTACGGCTCAAATTCGTTAAAAATGATTCTTGGATATTCTCGAAGAGTGAAAGAGGATGCAACAGGCAACTTTTTCCATTTTGGCCACACTTCTTCTGAAGGTGTGCCACATAATTTGCATATTTCTAAAAGTTGATTAATGTCTGAATTTCCCATTAGTATAGGACATCTTTTAAGCATTTCACCAAAAACACAACCAATCGCCCATATATCAATTGCAGTAGTATAATGTCTTTCACCTAATAATATTTCAGGCGCTCGATACCAACGAGTGACCACACAAGCAGTCAAAGCCTTATTTTTTACGGGCCTCGATAAACCAAAATCTGCAATTTTTAATATCCCAGTGTTATCGATCAACAGATTTGCTGCTTTTAAATCACGATGAATTATATTTTGTTGATGGAGGTAAAGGGTTCCTTCAAGTAGTTGTTTCATATAACATTTTATTTGAGGAACAGAAAAAATTACACTCTTGTTTTCAATAAGTCCAGCTAAATCATGGTCCATGTAAGGGAAAACCATATAAATTGGTGAAGTTCCTTGAACTTCGTGGTTGTAAGAAATAGCCATATCGGAAAGAGTGACAATATTTGGATGACTTAGTTGATGGAGGATCTTTATCTCACGTATTGCTGTCAATGGGATTCCTTCTTTTTCATTGTGCATTAGAATTCTTTTTAATGCTACTATTTTTTTGGTTTTTTTATGAACACCTTTGTGAACTTCACCAAAAGTTCCTTCTCCCAATTTATCGGCCAATTCATAATCTTCGATTGGAGAACATCCTAAAAACTGATCGACATGTGTGGTTTGGGGTAAAGAGTAGGTAATAGACTGTTTGATGAAATTTTGGTGTTGAATTGAAGAACCGTAATTCTTTTCAAGATAGCTAGCCAAAGATCCAGTATGATTTGAATCTGTGGTGGTAGAAGTAGTTTCGTTAATTGAAAAAGTTGAAGAAGATGGTAGAGGCTCTGTTGACTGTATTAATTCTGTTGATCGTGTTAGTTGTGAGGGTGAACTAGAAAAATTTTGTTTCTTGATATGCTTTGACATGTTGACCATTATCATTATCAATCTGTGATGTCTTTTGTTTTGTTTTTTTTATATAAATACTATAATATACAAAAAATTATTTATTTTTAAAAAAAAGAAATTTTTTTTTTGTGAATAAAAATGAATGAATGTCATGTGTGTGTGTGATCGTCAATTTTTCGCGTCAAATCTCACATTTTTAACATCATAAAGTATTAGTAAGTTCAATTTTTTTATTACCTGTCAAAGATATTAAATCACAAAAAATTTAACCATTTAATAGAATGAAATTAAGTTAAAAGTGGATAACATGAAAAAAGGCAATTTTTCAGAGCGTCCCAATCAAGGAAAAATAGAAGAGATCTTAAATCAACACATAGAGCCAAAAAAAGTGACATCGGCAAACGACAAAATTAAAGCTGTAGAATGTAAAATAGAACCATTCGCTGGCCAATTATTAAAGCCTTTCAATTATATGTATCAAACAATTGCAAAAAAAATTCAAAGTAACTATTTAATGAAAGTTTGATTTTTTTTTGATTTTTTTTCTAGAAAAAAATTCATCTTTGAAAAATTAATTTTTTAAAAAAGTTTTGGAAGATCGAATTGATTTATGTGTGGAAGTTATAAGTGAACATTATAACAAAGAATTATGGGATCCTACTGTTTTCGGTGAAGTGTGTATAAAAAAACAAGCCCATATTTATATTTATATATATATATATATATACACACTTGGATTAATTATCATTTATTTATTTGATTCTAGAATAAATTATTTGCAGTTGGTGAAATATTTTGTGATTTAGAAGGAAGACTTAATCTTGAATCTGCAATGCTGGCAACTTCAATTAATATTGGAGAACGTATTATCAAGTTGTTTCTAAATGATCTTCCATCGTTTTCTTTATTTCCTGGACAAGTAAGATTCCAACCATTTAGCATTACATTCCATATATCTTCTCTAATACTTTCTCTTTATTTAGATTATTGGAGTTGGAGGAGTTAATAATACAGGAAATTTTTTTTATGTAAAAAAAATCTACGAGGTAAAATATTCCCCCAAAAATCGACATTTAAGTTGAGCATTTATGTTATACTCACTGTTTACTTTTTTTCTCTCCCAAACAAAAAAAGTCGCCATTATTACCATTTTATCGATCTCCAAACCAAATAAATGAAAATGATCAAACATTAATAATTAATGACTACAATAGCAGCAGCAGTAGTTCGAAATCATTAGAAGTAATATTTGTAGCTGGTCCATATACACTTGACACTGATTTAACATTTGAACCATTTAAAGAATTAATTAGAAAAATGATCAAAGAAAAACCTAACATATTGGTTCTGGTAAAAATAGATACTAATTTCTAATCAAGAACAATGGTGGTGATAATAATATGGTTAACATTTATTGACTATACATTAATTTATTTGTGTAGATGGGGCCATTTGTTGATGAAAATCATCCAATTATTCAGCAAGGAAAAGCAACAATGCTGGTTGATGATATTTTTAATAATAATATCACAAAATATTTGGATGTTTTGATTAAAGACTCACCAGATATAAATGTTATTGTGATTCCTAATCCTAGAGATGTAATTCATGAATATCCAATATTTCCTCAACCACCATTCAATAATATATTTTCAAAGGTTTGCAAATTTTTATCAAGTATGGTATTAATATGGTATTAATAATATATTCATATTCATACTAAAAAATGGCAATATTATATAATTTTAGAGCACCATCACATTGCCTAATCCTGCACAATTTAGAGTAAATGATGAGATTACATTTGCCATAAATAATGTTGATATTTTGTTTCATTTGAGTGTGAATGAAACATCAGGGTAAATTTATAATTATATTAATTAAATATATATGTGTGTGTATGCAAATATATTAATCCATAATTTAAATATCATCAAGTAATTGTGATTCAGATAGAATGGGAAGATTAGCTAAACACATCTTGACTCAAAGACAGTAAGTACTATTAATAACAAAATGATCATTAAATCAATTTATATATGAATTAATCGATTGATTGATTGATTAATGGTTTTAGTTTATATCCATTATTTCCACCTGTAATTAATGATATAAATCTTGATGTAAAAAACTCATCAAGTCTTCAATTACAAGCAACTCCTGATGTACTTGTAACTCCTTCAAAATTAAAATTTTTTGCAAAGGTAAATGTTTACATATTACATAACATCATATAAATCCGTATAATTAAAGTTATATTGATACCAATTAATTAAAATATACAATAATAGGTTATTAACAATGTGATTTGTATTAATCCTGGCTACGTTTCTAAAAATCAATCCAATGGGACATATGCAAAATTAACCATTCATCCACCACAACAAAATAATTCTGAACCAGAACAATTTATTTCAAAGAGATCAAGAGTAGAAATAATTAGATTGTAATATTAAAAAAATTTTAATTTTTATATTTTCATTAAAAAAAATTTTTTATCAAGGTTTTTTTTTCAACATATATACAACATGTATGTTTAGTTTTCTAGATATTCCAGATATGCTTTTTTCCTTTAATCTTCCTATAAATAAATAAATAATATATAAATCAATTTTCAATTATATATTTAATCAAGAAAAATTTTCCTAACACATGTACAGAACCAATGTTGTTAAATATACTCATTAACCTTCCAAAGTCGAACATTTCCACATCAGATCCTGAAACAACACATTTTGAATCCATACTAAATTTCGCTTTGCGTGATATATATCCCAACTGTGTCCTTGACGTGTTGGAAATATTCTAAAGTTTATTGAACGAATCGGATCGAGTCGAATCAAACCGTATTTTTAAATTTAAATTTAAAATTGATACTATATCTTAAAATAAAAGATTTATATCCTATAAATAATAATAATTACAAAATAAGTACTGAATAAATACGGGAAAAACGTATTCTTGATACAGAATGTATTAGGACAACGCATTGTTGATACGAAATACATACAGAAGAATGCACTTTCCCGTACATACAGATATGAAAATGGCACGGAAACCATACGGTGTCAGCGCGGAATATTTTTGGTGCATTATTATTTTAATACGAAAAACACATAGTAGCAGGAAAATCCGTTTCCTCATGTTTATAGTACTAAAAAGTTTACTTTCAGTATGTATATTCCGTACATAATTTTTATAAGGATGAGAGACACACATAAGAAAATTGATTTAAATCGCGCGTATTCAACAAATTTTATGTGAAGCAAAATTTAAATTTCATTGCGAATTTAATTTAAACAAGATTTCGTTGAAACGAAGAACTAATTTATTTACATGTTAATGTATTAGATAGTACATATATCGATCCGAATCTAATCAAATCATGATTCATTGGATTGATTTGATTTGAATCCGAATCGAATATGTTAATGCCACCCACTTTATCGCATCCGCTGGTAGGAAATATGTTTAAGTTAATTGGGGATGGACATACTAATGTATTGATTCTATTGGTATTTTATCTTATATTTCTGTATTTGCATTTATTAGAATCACAGAAGGATTATTTTCACAAGTACATGAATTACAAGGTGGAAACATACCAAACCTTCACAAGTAATGGTATTAGTTTAAATTTCGATTGTGATTTTGCTAGGGCTTTATCATTGTCTTAAATTTTTTAAATAAAAAAAAAACTCCCTTTAATGTAATACTTATTACCAACTTGGGTAAATTTAATATAAAAGGTGATTAGCATTGGTAAAATTTGAAAATTTTAGTTATGTAGTTTCCGGGGTCCCATATAACAAACAATATTGCGAATATGACATGAGTGATAGTAATAGTTCACTATTTCGTAACGGAATGTAAGCACGACAGAGTAATATATATGTTGATGTTCGGGATAATATACTCTATATTTCTGGTAAAACTAAAGAAAAAAAACCAAAGGATCAACTCATATTCAAGAATGTCGTTGGGTTTTTTCTCTCGTACACTTGCACTCACACGTAATGTGAAAGCTGATAATGTCGTTGCTAAATATGAGAATGGTGATTTTGAGAATAAAATTTCTAAAGCTGAACAAAAAAGTTGTGATAAATAAATTTTAATTTAATAGTTGTTGTTGTAAATTTACATGTTTTGAAATTTCTTTTAATGTTTCTACACAAGTCGCTGTTACCACTTGCTCTTTATTCCCTTTGACTAATTCAATTAATTTCTTATGTACACCTGACTCGACCAATTTCTCCACCATTTCTTTATTATTTGTGGATGCTATATTTTTCAAACACTCGACACTTCGATGTTGCAATTCAACAGATTGCTCATCCAACAAATCTTTTAAAGTTAGTAGACCTCTTGGTCTTTCCAATATCATCTTGCACACATTTTGATCTGTTGACAAGATTGCTAAACATCCACTTGCCGCTCTCCTAGTCTCAAAATCATCTACGTCTGATAATGCTACCAACACTTTTATTTTATTTTTGGATTTCTCGTAGTCATTATACCTCTCAAATATTGGTTCACAAAACATCAAATTACACAAACATTCTGTTGCTGCCCTTCGAACCATTATATTATCAGATAATTGTAGATTTTCCACTATACCCAATCCATCAAGCCGATAAATATGTAATCTGATATTATCATCTGTGCTAGATAAATTTGTCAGTGCCATCAATGATTCAAACTGGCATAATTCACTCTCGCTTTTACACAAATTAAGCAACGGTTTCACCAAATCGGTCGATCGCTCGCCTCTAAAAACAAGATTTGGATTCATCGTGATTGCAATTTTTGCTAATGCTTGTGTTGCATATTGTTGCAAATTTTCTTTGGTTCCTTTTGTTGGTGCCATTGTTGTTTTCGCTGTTGTTGTCATTGTTGTCGTTGTCATCGTTGCCAATGGAATTAAAGCTTTTATAGCACCTTGTTGTACCATTAATCCATGATTTGATCGATCACTTGCCAGATTTAAATAAATATTTGCAACTAGTTGCTTAATTACTTGACTTTGATTTTTTGATAGTTTGATTAGTATTTTGTTAACTCCAATACTTAACAATTTTTTATTACGTTTAACCACATGTTCATCATCATCCAATGGGTCCAACTCATCATTATTCTTACTTTTGTTATTATTTTCACCAGTTAATTTCTTTAACTTTAAAATTTGTTCTTCAGTTTCATTTAATTTTTTTCTGTACATTGTAATATTTGATAAAACTACTGCAACTCCATAAAGTATTGAATTATCTAGGATTGGTTTTCCTCCTCCTTTTTCTTCTTCTTCTTTTTTTAATTCGTTTAAAATGAAATCAAATATCTCTTTTAGTAATGTGGGATGATCAATTATCATTTCTTTGACTGATGCCTTTGTACTAGAATATGCTAAACCTTCAATAGCATTTTTACGTACTTCATAATTTGAATCAGAATCTAATACCAGATTTCTAAATAATCCTGCCAATTTTATTTCTTCTTTTTCTTCTTCTGGTCCTGATTCTGCAGTGACATGATCTTTATCTGTTATTAATTTTTTATTATTTATACTGTTAACAATTGGGTCGTTGTCGTTGTTGTTTTTGGATTTTTCATCCAAGAAAATCTTTGTTGAAATAACAGCTGACAAAGATTTGAGATGCTGATTTTTACTAATCATTAAAGATTTTAAATATTCTTGACAATTTGCAGCAATTAAAAGTCTAGAGTTTTTTTGTGAACAAGCCAAGGACAAGATTTCCAAAATTGTTAATTGTACCTGTTCATCTTCAAACTCAACACAATCCATCATCTCTTCCAAAAAGCCCGCTTTGTTCAATACTTCTTCACCTAATTCATAAAAAACTTTAAATATATATAATAATGCATTATATCCAAATAATTTATCAATTTTTTTGGTTGAATTTGTCCAATTTGATATTATTTCAAAAGTTTTTTGCTTAAACAATAATAATAATGACGATGATGTTGTTGTTTTATTGGAGTTTTTTTCTGCATCGTTGTAAAATTTTTCGATTAATTTTGATAAAAATATCAAACTTGTTGTTTTAACCTTTTCACTTTTCGAGCCTCCAAAACAACTTAAAATTGTTTTAAAATCTGATGAATTTATAAATTTTTCATAGTCTTCATCGTTATCACCACCACTACTTGATTTTATGACCTTTTGTAATTCATGATTAAGAAAATTCAATTGCGATTCCTCCGATTCATTTAAATTCATATTAATTAATATTGAAGAAAAAATGTGTAATTAGTTTGATTGGCTGAAAATATTACTTTATATGTAACAAAAATTTGTGATGGAAATAAATTAATTGAACACGTTATGATTTGTATTATCCTGTATATCGATTCTGTAGAATTGTCATTAATATGAAAAACAGATTCATGATATATCTTTGAATTTACCGTCCAAGAATGAAATTAGAAAGAATGACGGAATGTTTAATCGTTTTTGGACATTAATCGCAGCAATTTTTCAACTCGTCTTCTGTGACCAATGAAATAGTGTCTTCCTCATAAAGGTCATTTTCGTATTTTTCCTATACAATTGTTAACCCAACCGAAAATATTTTTACTTGTTTCTTCACTAAAGAAGTGATGAAAATTTCTTTGTTTTAAGATGTTTTTCTCTTGAGCTGTGAAAATTTATGAAGGATTTTGTCAAATTAAAGAACTGACCCTTTGGGTGAGTAGACACACCCAGAAGTCAGCCACAAAAATGATTGATACGAGTCCAGAATGATGTAAATTAGTTACGAAGACGAAGAAATTTTTCATTTTAATATTAATAATATGCACCAAAAATTTTTTAGGGATTAAATTATTACATATGACTCAATCAATAATACCCTCGCATATGACTGATCATAATCTCTACTAAATGTTTTGTAATAAATCTTTATTTTAATTTGATTTGTATCAAACAGTATAAGTAAACAAATACCATAATCGGCCATTTGATAATCTCGTCATGTTTGATGAACATTATAAGAACATCCATCATTCATTCTCGGATAAAAAACCAAACTACAAATCTTTTGATAACCATTGTTGAACATTAATAAAAAGCAAATATTTTTCACTAATAATAATAAAATGCATATTTTTTACTGTGAATTTACTTGTGGGTTGTTGGAATTTTCCTTGGTCTTTTGCTCACTATAAGACTTCCAAATCCCATCTCTGTGATATAATCCATAAAATATATTAATACAATCAATAGGGCCTGGAAAAGTCAAAACAAAAAAATAAAATCAAAGTAAATTAATTATTGATCAAAAATACTTGGAAGAGATCGAAAACTTGTGGAGGGATCTTAAACCCTTAATTTGATACTCAGATTTTCATCTAGCACTAGTAAAATGTCAACTGGAATCTATGAATTGTACAGAGAAGGAAAAGGTATTGCAATCTCCACTGTCAAAACTTCTGCCAAAGAATCCAGGAATGGGGTAATAAATGAGATGAAAATGATAATGGCAAAGAAGGAGAGAAGGAAGAAGATATTAATAATAGTAAAACAATCTTGACATAGTTCTACTTTATTGGCTTTTGTGACAAAGGTCAACTTTATCAACTAAAGTCAACTTTTGTGTTCCATCTATCCATCGATTAAGTGAAGGTGAACATAAATTGTCCTCACATTTATTATCTTATTATCAGTTTCAACTAGTGTGAATAGTGTGAATAGTGACGAATATGATTACTTTACATTTAAAATTTATAAAACTCTAAAATATCAAAAGATTTTATTGTCTATTGCATTGCTTATAAAATGTTGTATATAGGTAAAATTACAAGGGGCGTAAAATAGTCATTCTCTCTTAATTACTTTTATCTTTTTCAATATTTTCATCCCTAATAACATTTTTAAAAAAATGCTTACATTCAATGGTGAATTTTTTTGCAAGTTGTTAATTGGAGTTTTCCTTGGTTTCTTATTTCACTATAAAACTTGCAAAAATCAATTTATATTATAAATCAAAAAATTGATCAAATAATCAATAAAATAGAACCAAGAAAAAGCCAATTCAAAAATAAATCAGACAAACTTGCTAGTGATAAACAATATTCACAAGAAATAGAAATCTATGAAAGGATTTCAAGCAATTATTTGACAAAACAACTGGGACGAATCCCAATTTTTCATTTGGTGAAATGGCCATGGAAATTCATGAATTATTTGGTGAGGAAAAAGTTTCTGCTTCTACCCTACCCTATGAAAAATTATTGACTGAAAATATACGGTTCATCTACTGTTTTTTCCGTATGTTATTTTTTATAGGGCATTGGAAATGTTTGATCAGGGTGTAGAATATGAAATAGAATTTTAAAATTTAGTATATCAATAAAAAAAATTTTTTTTTTTTTGTAGAAACTTATCATATGACGAGCTTATTTTGTAATAATGATCTATCATAAATAAACATCTTCCCATGTGCGTAAATAGGACCCCGAGACATTTCAATCTTTGGGTAGAAATGTCGAAAAATCATTTCTTAATTAGGAGAAATTTTATGATGATCATGTAAATTATTTCCAAAATGGTAATAACTTTTGTATTTTTCAAATGTATATTCACGGATTCTCTTCCCGCTTTATATCAACTAGAATTTACACAAAAAATGAATCGAGCTATTCTTAACTTATAGGTCAATAAAATCACATATAACCCACTATAAAAGATTAAACTTATTATAATCACTAAATATGTCTGCTTTTGATATTCCTACTATCCTTGGTAACATTCGTCCCGGGAGGTAAGTTTTCGAATTTTCTTTTTTAACTCGGTTACCTCTTCTTCGAGCATAGCCAACTATTGCTCTCGATTGAATAGGTAGCTCTCCTTTTTATCTACTTCTTTTAAAGCTAATCTGTGACACTTCTGTAAAACAGATACTTGGGATTTGAGTTCCCGAATCTCTGATTCATAATAGTGTTAACCTGAAATGAAATGCTCCTACTACATTGTTCTAGCTCTTTTATGAAAATACAGAATTTTTTTCTCGTTCGCTTGGTTTATACTTGCCTCAGAATCGAGTTCCTTCCTCAACTCGTGATTAGTTTTAACAATGCTAAATAGGCTGGACCGAAATCCATGCCAAAAAAAAAAAATTCCACCTTGGTTTATAGTAATAAGATTTCGCAATCATGGCAATGAGTTACCTACCATCATAATTAGTTCCTATGAGGAAGGAGCCCTAGTAGCTTTTTTATTATAGCGTTCCTGGATTTTATTCGAATGCCAAAAAATTGTTAGACGCATGCAGAAAAGATTTCACCTTGCTGGTATTAGATTCTGGCTTAAGCAGCGGTTCGACTACCAAATATATCTCTTTCCGCAAAAATGCAAAGCTAGAAGTATAATAAACCTGTAATATTAATTAGTATTGTGTTAGTTACTCAAATAAATATAAATAAATATTACTACCCCACATAATTTTTCATATTGTTGAGAAAAACCTGGTAAAAATCATTTGACTGATCAGAGCTCATAAATAATAAACTTTAATTTAAAAATTTAACTATTTTTATATAAATATTAATTAAGACTATTACTATATAAAAATGTCTGTTTTTTCGCACGCTTTTTTTATTTTATTTTATTTTTTTTGTAATTATATAAAAAATCATGTATAAATTTATGGTTATAAATTTTGCAAAATCAAAATCATCTTTATCAACGACAAAATCAATATTAAGATCAAATAAGTCTTTTAATGATGTTAGCAGTAGTAACTTGATTAGATTTTTTTCAAATTCACCACCTAAAATGTCTGCTACATTGGGTACTTTTAAAATACCAGAAATTCTTAATGAACCAATGGTATGGTAAATTTATTGTTTTATTTTTTGCCTTTTATAATAAATAATTCATTTTATTTTAGTTAATTAATTGAAAAATATATAGAAAAACTATGAAATTGGTAGTAATGATCGAATTAAACTTCTTGATGCTTTAAAAGAATTAAGAGCTCAAGCTCCAATAGACATTCCTGTTTTAGTGAATGGTAAAAAGGTATTTAACAATTATACATATATATCAATCATTTAAAGCCTTTAAATCATTCATTATAATCGTATTTATATTGATATATATAGTATTATACTGGTAAAATACAAGAACAAAGAATTCCATCAGACCATGCAGTTGTACTAGCAAAAGCTCATGAAGCTGACCCAAATATCATAAATGAAGCAATCGAGGGAGCACTGATAGCTAAAAAAAATTGGGAAACTTTACCATTTAGCGATAGATCTGCTATATTCTTAAAAGCTGCTGATTTAGTTGCTAATAAATATCGGTTTAAATTGATGGCTGCCACAATGCTTGGTCAGGGTAAAAATACATGGTAATTATTATTATTATTTGAGGGTAATAACAAGTATGTTTATTTAAAAAAAATTTATTAATGTGAAATTGATTATTAGGCAAGCAGAAATAGACGCTTCTGCAGAACTAGTAGACTTTTGGAAATTTAATTGTCAATATGCGCAAGATATATATCAACAACAACCGCCTAGAAATGCATCTGGAACTTGGAACAGAGTTGAGTATCGACCACTGGAAGGATTTGTTTATGCAATCACACCATTCAATTTCACAGCAATTGGTGGTAATTTACCAGGAGCACCAGCTCTAATGGGTAACGTTGTACTCTTGAAACCTTCACCTTTTGCCACTCTATCAAATTGGATAGTTTTGGAAATACTCAAAGAAGCAGGACTTCCAGATGGTGTAATACAATGGATTCCTGGTCCAGCTGTCGAGATCACTCAACAAATATTGAAGTCACCTGAATTTGCATCGTTACATTTCACTGGATCAACTTCTGTATTTAAACAGTTGTGGAAAGATATTGGTAATAATATTGATATTTATAAATCATATCCAAGAATTGTTGGCGAGACTGGCGGGAAGAATTATCATATGGTACATGAGTCTGCTGATGTGTCGAATGCTGTCAATCAGACAATTCGTGCTGCTTTTGAATACTCAGGCCAAAAATGTTCAGCTTGCTCTCGTGCTTACGTACCTGACTCAATATGGGAACAGTTTAGTAAATTGTTATTGCAACAAATTAATAAAATTAAAGTTGGACCTGTTGAAGGTAATTTATTATTATTCTGTTTGTTAATTAGTTGAAAGTAATTAATTTCATTTTTTTTCTTTTTGGAAATAATAAATAGACTTTACCAACTTTATGGGTGCTGTTATGTAAGTTTAATCTGATTTTTTAGCAGACAATTGTAATGATCATATATGATTAGTTAATAACCATATTAATACCTTATTTATTCTTTAGCCATAAAGGTTCTTTTGAAAAGATTAAAAATTATATTGAATGGGCAAAACAAGATCCAGACAGTAATATTATAGCAGGTGGAACCTATAATGATTCAAAAGGTTATTTCATTCAACCAACAGTA